CGGCTTCCTGTCACTGAACATGGCCTGGAGCCAGCGCTGGATCGCCTGGGAGTTGAAGACAGTCAAGTTCGTTCTCGAAGGTTACAGTGTCACGGACAATTCGGCGGTCAGTACCCTGCAGATGATTGAGTTGCGCCAACTGATGGTCACTCTGTACGTCAAATGCATCATCTACTACGCGGTCCATTCTAAGAAATTGACTGAATGGTTGAGTTGTCCCCCTGTCCGGGCCGCAGTGGGCGCCGTGCTCGACGACAGTGCCTCCTCGTCCTCTGGATCGTATGTCGATGTTGACGCCACTTTCTGCTTCGCACACGACGAGGACTACGACGTGCAGCGCGGTGGCGCCTGCTGGCTCAAGTTCCGTCGGGTGTACCACCCTTGGCTGCAGCATTGCATGGACAAGGCATTCGGTCAAGCCACCGATCAGACCCTCGTCCCTGCCTTCAACACCGTCTCCGCCTTCTGCTTCCTACTCAGCCTTCTTGGCCGTCGAGTTCTCGGCAACGCGTCGCAGAGTCGTCATACGGCCAGTGCCGAATCGTTCCTCTACGGTTTGCTGGCCCTTTTTAAGGTAAAAACGAGTTATCGTTTCTCGAACGACAGCTGACTCACTGCGAATGCCACGTCGAACAAAGTTAATCTGTCTAGTGATTTACAAATGCAATTCGTTTTATAAAAGTTGTTTCAGATATGAAAATCTTATCTCCATTAATTTAAATTTACAAAGTTCATGACTCAGAGAAAAATCGCTCAATATTTCTCTCTCGCATATGCTACAGTACTAAGCTATCAGAAATTACTTAGTACTGTGGCATAACTGCCCAACTGCCAAATCTGCCGTTCCTCTTTTCCTCCTAAGCAACTGAACTGCTTTAATTTTTTACTTGTTGACATATTTCACACCTTTAAACATTCGAAGGAGAAGTGATCGATTTTAATGTTGGTTAAATGGCACGAATACATAAGGAATCACTCTGTTCGTTTCCGGGTAGTGGTGACCTCAGTGTGTGTAGAGATTAGGGAAAAGCACATCGGACAAACTGTTGATCATAAGCCATTTACTGCATCCCGCTAACTTCTTGTGTAGCAGCCGAAGGACGGCGAATGTTGGCCAGAAGACTTGCAGGTAGCGTGAAAGACAAGTTGATACAGCTTTCAGAGAGGAGCTGTTCCTTCTACGATACTGTAACCGGTACCTTATAGCAAAACTGAAAGCAGCGAGTACAGCGGGCATCACACACCGGGGACGCTTTGTTTATGCAGACGGATCAAGGTAATAATCGTGTTAACAACACTAGTCTGTACTGTACCGAGATTCCAGGATATAGTTAATGCCGTAAAACGATAATTGGCAGGTGATGTCTTATGCTTCTGACTGTTCGAACCGTATACTGTATTTTATGTAGGGCGATTTTCGCATCACCAGCGTTCGCGACGAATGGGTGTTCGCGGACGTGGATATTTTGACGTCGGTGATCTCTCCGGCGGTTCGCATGGCCGTTAAATTGCACCAGGATCACTTCACATACGCCGACGATTTCGACGACCCGGCGTGCATTTACGACATCATAGAGAATGACAAGGAGGTATTCATCTCGCACGAGAACGACCCAAACTGGCGGCGCGCTGTCTTGTCGAACACCGAACGGTTGCTGGCTCTTCGTCACGTGTTCGAAGACGGTCAGGACGACTTTAAGGTCATCATGCTGACCAAACGACACGTCAATTTTCGTGTCATCAAGTTAAACCGCGAATGCGTTCGTGCCTTCTGGGCCGGCCAACAACAGGAGTTGATCTTCCTGCGCAATCGCAACCCTGAAAGAGGCTCGATCCAGAACGCCCGACAGGTGACAGACTCTTCAGTCGTTCGTGCTTTTGAAATCGTTGGCTTGTAGACAGCTTGAAGGGTTGCTCCCAAGCGCTGTATGCGTAATGTGTAAGAGTTTAAGGAGGGTTAGAATCGAAGGTAAGATAATATTACATGTCAGTTTTGCGTGGTTTAAATTCGAGGTTTTTTAAAGAGAAAGTTAAGCACTGATTTGCATCGCTCAACCATTCGACAGGGTCCCGTTATAATTTTTGCTGGTTTACAGTAGTAGGTATTCAGTCGTGGTTCAGTTGTTTATGTGACAGGTAGGGTAATGGATGACATGATGCGAAAACTTATTTTCAGGTTTACGACACTCATCAGTGAACTGTAACTTTGCCGTATAAACTTAGTATGTATGACGATCAAGGACTGTTATGGTGAAGAGGATTAGACAACGTGTTTAGAGAGATCTTGGTTGAAGAGCGATGCGGATTCATGACAGGCAGATGATATTTGAAGTTTACATTCCCAATTGTAAACTAATGAGAAAAGAGACAGAATGAGAATATAAATTATGGACAAAATACAACTCTGATGTTTTAGGGGACCTCTCGATTCTACCGCTGAAGATATCACCTCCATAGTATTGATACCGAATTGAGACGGCGAAAATGCACAGTGTAAAGAAAGAAGAATCTATTTCTCACTTTGCACCAGCAACTCATTACTCCGCTCCCTTTCTTCTAGACTCCTAAGGGGGTCCATTTAAGCAGGCCATGGCTCCATGATATTTAAGCGCTACTTTAAGCGCGTGCGGTGCATAGGACGCAGGACCGCGTCTCAAACTGGAGTTGAATAAAAATATATTCATCTAAGATAGCCACCATCCGTTGAACGATGGTCAAAATATATACCCGATATTCTTGGAGATCGTGGATCTGTGACCTGCTTAAATCGCTCCCGTGGGCATCTAGAAGCAAGGGGACGGTGCAGTAGGGC